GCATTTTATGGCAAACCCTAGTCATCAGTTCATGTCAGATTCTTTTCTTATTCCTAGTCCTATGTAACACTTTGTCACAAGTCTATATTTGACCGGTACAATCAGATATATGTCCTATACGACATATATCTTTCAATCCACCTTTCATGTCAGATGCCAAGGTTATGGCTTGGCTAAATTTGACTGGTACAATCAGATCTATGTCACCACCAGATAATCTATATCGACCATCACCAATACATATCTGAACTCTCTCCTTTAATGGTTCAATAAAGGAGGAGGAGGAGCAACATCAAACGAATGTCCAACAATAAGAAGTGGATGACCAGTACATGCATGACCAAAGTCAACAGGAGAAGGAACATGCACCCCACAAACATGTGCGATAGATTGTATATCATCGTTGTGCAACAAGGAGTCACCTTGTTGGGCTTAGACACAACAGGTGTGGCCCATAGTTACATATGCTACATGGTGATCTATATATTTTATAAACTATGTACTTTGAAATTTTAATTTTATGTACTTTACGACTTAATTTTATGTATTTTAGAATTTTAATTTCATGTACTTTAGAATTTGAATTTTATGTAGATCAAAATTTAAATTTTATGTCCTTTGAAATATTATTTTTACATTGATATCATTTAATAATTTATAAAATTATTATACAAAAATATTAACAAATTTAAATAAAATTAATTGTTATTCTTTAATTTGCGTAAGAAATTTAAAAAAATTATATAACTTAAGTATACATGGATCATAATTCAAACTCTAAAAGTGCACCTAAGGCAGAGTCTGTTTTTAACTAACCTCGCTGACTGACACGAAAGTCGATTATAATTAACTTCCTTATTGGACTGGTAAAAACGATTATAATCGACTTCTGTACTCGTGTCTGAAATCAGTTTTAATCAACTTTTATATAATTTAAATCAGGATATTTGTGTAAAAATTTTTATTTCAGTGCATAGACGTAATATTTAATTATTTTTATTTTATTTCTGTAAAAAAGTTACATTTCTGTCTTTTATAAAATAATTTTGTTATCTTATTATATATATCTCTCTTACGTTATTATTATGTTATATTATGTATTGACTTTGTTCTTATCGTAACATTTGTCTATATTTTATATGTAACTCATAAATTTTATATTATATCAACAAATGTAATTTTAATTGATATAAGGATTAATATTTGTATTCAATAAAATCATTCTTCTTTTTTAGTTTCTATTTAAATCTTAATTAAAATTTTTAAATATTATTTTTTCTCTTCTTCTATCATTTTAATTTTTTTTAAAAATATTTAACAAAAATTGATATATCATAATTATGTATAACCTATTAAAGTAGACAATATTTTATTTATATTTATATTATAATTATGATGAAAAATTTAAATTTTTAAAATTAAAAAAATTTATAGTATTTATATTTGATAATTTTGTTGCAATGTCTTTTATTTATAAAATATTATAATGATGATGATAAATTCAAAATTCTCAAATTAAAACTAATTAATTATAATCATTGAAATAAATTAAATATTAGTAAATATCATAATAATAAAAATGGTTATTCATGGTAGGATGAATATGATTTGATATTTAAATCTTTAGATAACTGTTTGATTTGCATATTTAATAATTTTATATCGTAATAAATGAATAAATAAAAAAATATTATGTTTTAAATCTAAATTAAGTTTGACTATTATATTTAGTTTCTATATATATCATTTATTTTAAAAGTTAATTAGAGGTTTTTATCCCTTTAATCTTTTCTCCACATTTCTATATTCTAACTATATGATTATTCAAAATTTTCATATTAAAAAAGAAGTTTCAATATTTTTGAAAATTTTTTTGAAAGCATTCAATTACAAATACAGATAACAATGCTTTTTAATGAAAAAATTCTATCATACTGTGTGGACTTATAATTAATTCTCAAGATATAAATCAAAATACGAGTATTATATATATAAAAAAAATTAAATCAATACAAATATTTTTTTATTAATATAATTATTTATTATGTTATATTCTAAAAAATTATTAATATAATTTTTAATTTAAAAAATAATATTTAAATCAAGTTCACTAATTATTGACATGTTTTTTTTTTAAATCAAGTAACATATAAGATATTAGACAAAAGAGACATACACACGGATGTCGTATAAAAAATATATCTCAAAACAATAATCAAATGTTAAATACACCCATATATCTGCATTAAAATAGTTATAATACATTTATTTTATTTTATGATAGAATAATATTTTAATGTTTTTATATTAAATTTATATTTATATATTTTTAAAATAATTATGGACCAAATAATATTTTTTTTTACTTATTTTTAATTTAATCTACATGTTCTTTATCATCTAATGTTTTAAATTTATTTTCTAAATTTTATTTAATTAATTTTTAAAAAATATTATTATATTATTAACAAACCATATTAATTATTTTTAAAATTGAAAAAAAATGCATAAAAAAAATTAAAAAATTTATTATTTTAATTTTATGACCATGTAACATAAATTTATTTTACTTAATTAGTTATTTAATAAAACTAATTTTTTTATAATATTAATCAATATTAATTCTATTAAATTATTAAGCAACATAAAATAATTTAAACACTTTAAAAAAATTCAATTCTATATTTTTTATTTTTATTAACAACTAAATTTTTAAATTAAGAATATATATTGCATTATTAACATATAGTTTTGTATATATTCATATTAAAATTAAATTTAAAAAATTTTATACATGAGTTAAATTAATACAAATTTATTTTTATATATTTTAGTTTGATGAGTTATTTAAAAAAAAAATATTATATCATCTTTTTATAATGATATTGTAAAACTTTTATTAGTAATTTTGAATTATAATTATAAAAAAATAATTTATCAAATAAATTTAGGTTAATAAATATAAACAAATGTATAAATAAAAAAACTATAAATTATTTTATTTAAACTTTATAACTTAGTAAAAACTATAAGATATTTTATTTATTTTAAAATTATATATTTAACAAATAATTTTATGATATCATGAAAAATATAAATTTTATTTTTAGATTTTAAAATAACAAACTTTACGCTATTTAAAATTAATTTCATAAGTTTATCATAAATATTTTTTAGTCTATCAAATATTTTAAATTAATATAATTAACTCTAAAAAATACTAAATTATACACATTTTAATTTTACAATACTGTTTTAATATGTAAGATATTTTTTGTAAATAAATTTTTTATATAACAATAAGAAAATTAATATATTTTAATTTGTATACATTACCATATTTTTTTTATGTATTTATACTAAAATTATTATTATTATTATTATTATTATTATTATTATTATTATTATTATTTTTAACAAAATTATGACAGTAATAAACAAAATTTATTTATACTTTACTTAATCAATATGTTCCTTTTAGTCTAGAATTTTAATTTTATTTATTTTTATCTATTAACAGATAACTAAAACTAAAAAATATTAAAAATATGTATTATATCATTAAATATTTTTTATTTATCATAATTTTGTAAATTAATTTATTCTTCATAATCATAAAAAAAATATTTTTTAAATAGTAAATAAAATATTTATTAATGTTATCATTAATTTTTTTAAAATATTTAGAAATTTTTTGAAGTATTTTGATATTTATTTATTTATCTTTTAATATATATTATAATTATTACAGTCTGAAATTTATTTATTATATTTTATTTTAAAATAAATAATAATATGTATCATAATATATATATATATATATATATATATTAAAAATTTACTTATTTATTTATTAGTATTTTTTTAAGGTTCAACATATTATTAGTTCCATTATTATCTTATTATTATTTTTAGAATTTTGAAATACTATCTTAATTTTATTATTATTAAATTGACAAATAATTATTTAAAATTATTTTATATTTTAAAATTAATTTAATTTCTTATTTCAATTAAGGAATGATTATAAAATTTATTCATATATGTATTAATATCAATATTATAAAATATGATGATATTTATTTATTTCTTAATATAATTTAATTATACACATATAGAAATTTATCATAATCACTCTTATAATTAATATTATATTATATAAATTATAAATTAAATATATATATATATATTTATTAATAATTTTTTAAAAATATTATAAGTAATTATTCAAAATATATAAATTTATGATATACAAAAAATATTATATATAAGAAAATATTTTATAATTTTCTTAGTGTTATTATATTAAATGTAATAACTTTTTTACTATATTTATATATATTTTATATTTAAATTGTATATATTTTATTTTAAAATAAATTTATTTAATAAAAATAAAATAAGCTGATATAACACACAGATATAATCTTCTTCAATATAATTATATTTAATATAATAATTTTTTTACTGTATTTATATATTTTATATTTAAATTATATAAATTTTATTTTAAAATAAAGTTAATTAATAAAAATAAAATAAATCCGTACAATTTATGTAAATATTTACTAGTTATAAATTATTATTTTATTATTTATATATATTTATCCTAAAAATATATCTCAAATAAAAGGCATACATCAAGATTCCATGTAGTATGCAGTAATAAAAAAAACAAACTTTAAGCTATTGTTTTTTGCATTCTTTATTCTTTCACATTGGACTGCAGGGGCACAAGCACAGTTCTCTCTCTTTCTCGCTCCAACCGCAATTCTCTTTTCAGGCATTTTTTTTATCAAATGGGGAATTAAAATATAGGGTGGTGATGGTACAGTCGATGACAATGCCACTTAAATTATGGTATTTGGGTGTGTATTTTAATCCACAAATAAAAAGCATATACTAAATTAAGCATATGTTTCCAGCAAAGGGTGGGTGTTTCCATGTTGGATCTCTCTCTTTCTCCTTCTTTTTCTTCTTCAACTTAGTGTCTTCCTTCAATACTCCAAGTCACTTCTCGTTTCTCCTCTTCTCTCTTCCTCAGACGTTTCTTTCTGCAACTTCAGCCTCACATCTCTATGCTGTTAAATACTAAGAGCCTTATGTCACCCACAACGTCTCTTTTCTCTTTGTTTTGATTGCATATTTTGTAACGCTCACCCTCCATTTATTGCTACCTTTGACTTGTCTTCCCCTTTTACTACTACACCTTTCCTTCTCCTTTCTTCTCTCTCTTATATTCTCTTTATAAATTATATGCAGACGTTGCCTTATGGACGTTTCTCTCCTTAATATCTGAATAAATATGCACAAATCCTTGTCTCGAAATCTTCGCTTTTCTCCATTTTCCCTTCTTAATCAATTTGTGGTCTTTTTCTGTTTCTAAGCATGTTTATGTTAATTAATCTCTACCAACGCTGATAAGCCAACTTCTAATCATGTGAAGCTTTTTAGTTGTTGGGTTGGGGGGGCTTTGTTCATCAGGGTAAGCTTCTCTTCTGTTCTAATTATATTCTTTTATATAACCGTTAGTTCCCGTGGCTAACATTAATCTTTTATTTCTCAAAATAATTTTTAACTAACAAATGGAAATGCCTTGGTTAATCAGTGTCGTACACATCTTATGCATGTTAGAAGATTTATTTATGTTTAGTCATTTCTTCGAGTTTTCATAATTTTATTAAGCAACAAAAACTCTCGTTCTATTTTTAAAAATCTTTTTTTTTCTTGCTGTTTTAGTAAATTGGAATGGTACTAATTAAACTAGGAAGAAGACTTTTTTGTTTTCATTGTTGTTGTGGGCTAGATTTCTCTGTCTGTTTGTTCAACTTGTATATATTTATTTGCATCTATATTTCTTGCTCGTAACGCCTCATGTTAACAAAAATTGTTGTTGCTGATGCCTTGTCTGGATTTTCTTTCTGCAGTTACAGTTTGAATTGATTATAAGGTGTAAAAGGTTTCCCTGATCAAAGTTTAACAAAGGACAAATGACCTATTTATGACTAGTGAAAAAGCATTTACCTGTCACAACCTTTGGTAGTAAAGGCTTTTGTTTCAGTAACCATAATTCCGAAGCGCAGAAGATGAGAATTCTTGAATTACCACCCTCTGATGGCAATGGTTCGTCAAATAATGATGATGAACCTTTACCTCAGGATGCAGATTATAACAATGTTCTTCTGAGTCTCAGTGATGAGCTAGAGACTTCAATATTGGCAAGATTTCCAAGATCCCAGCACTGGAAATTGTGCTTCCTAAACAAGCGGTTCTTGGCTCTAGTGAAGAGTGGTGAGGTATATAAAATCAGAAGAGAGTTAGGATTCAAAGAGCCATCTGTGTTTATGTTAGCTAGTGGAGAGAGCAATTGGTGGGGAATGGATTGGCCTTTCAAGTCAAGTAAAAAGCTCCCTCCTATTCAATCAGATTATAATTTTGAGTTTGGAGATAAAGAGTCATGTTGTGCAGGGTCCCACCTATTAGTTTCAGGCAAGGAGATTGATGGAGCTGTTATTTGGAGGTATGAGTCAGAATCAAATGAATGGCTAAAAGGGCCATCTATGATCAACCAAAGATGTCTTTTTGCATCAGCTACATGTGGTGCTGTTGCCTTTGTTGCTGGGGGTCTTGAGGCAAGAACTTACACCCAAGTTTTGGATTCAGCTGAGAAGTACAATTCTGAAAGGCAGTGTTGGGAACCCCTCCCAAGGATGAATAAGAAGAGGAAGTTTTGCTCAGGTTGTTTCATGGATAACAAGTTCTATGTCCTTGGAGGGCAGGATGAGCATCAAAAGGACCTCACATGTGGGGAGTTCTTTGATGGGAAGACCAATAGTTGGAACTTGATTCCTGACATGTGGAAAGATATTCCTCTTTCTGATTCACAATCTCCACCTCTTCTTGCTGTTGTAAACAATGAGTTGTACACACTTGATGCCTCTTCCAATGAGCTAAAAGTGTATGTGAAGGGAAGCAACACATGGAAGAGGTTAGGAGGGGTTCCTGTTAGAGCTGATGCTCAAGGAGGTTGGGGTGTGGCATTTAAGTCTTTAGGTGATGAGTTACTTGTTATTGGTGCACCCTCTGTGTCCCACACTGAGCGTGCCTTGTCTATGTACACTTGTTGCCCTGATCCAGATGCTGAGAAATTGAGGTGGAGGCAAATTGAATGTGGCAGCTTTCAGCTTAATCACTTTATTCGCAATTGTGCTGTGATGGGAACATGAAGTCTGAATTATGAGCAGCAAGAATAGTAGCTTGAAACCAATATCAAAATAAAACTTGGTTATAAAGTTTGTGCCATTTGATGATTTCATCTTTGTTTTCTATTATGTCACATTTTGAAACAAGTTATTGTTAGGATGCTTGTTGATGTATCTTCTCTCTTCTTTAACTTAGAAGGAGTGAAAATAGCAAGTATTATCCTGTTGTTGGTGAAGAAAACTAGATAATGAGATTCAAAGCTCATGTGCAATTTTTCTTTTCCTTTGTTGTGACGCTGATTTATTTATTTATGCAAATATTTCAAGTCGCGATATTGAATGTCCAATTTGAATCATTTGCATGAACTCCCATTATTCAAAATACTCAAAACTTCAAATCATTCCTCACTAATATGTCGTATTTCCCAGAGAGAATTGGATTTCCTTCCTTGGCTTTTTTTTTTCTTAGATTCACAGGGATCAGAAATTATTTTGCATCTCGGTTAATCTTAGTCGAGTCCAAATTTTATAAAAACAAAAAACCAAAGGTGTTTTTAGACTCTTTTTTTTTTGTATTTAAGAAAATCAAGCTGCTTGTGGATTGATTTCCTTAAGAATGAAATTGAAAACAATAATGTTGAGATAGAAATTATTGAAAAAAAAAACTGTTTTCAATTTTGTTTCTTTCTGATATTTTAAGCAAAACCCAAAAGTACGGACGAAGAACTGTTTGTTTGATTTTTGATCCTCGAGATACCAAGTTGACTTATAAAGTGTTTTCATTTTACACTTAAATTCTGACACCGATTGTTACACAAGTAACAAGTACAGGGACGAATGACATGACAAATATGTCCATTATTTACGATCTTCAGCTCTAGGCGAATAGCGGAACGGTCAAAGTTCTAAATTTTATTTTGAATGGTTATTTTGACCATTCAAAATAAAATTCAGAATTTAAATTATCTTTTCCTCTGTTTTCCTTGCACGATGGATGGTCTGGGAGGTAACGTCAAGCATAATCATCCATGTCAGAAATATCATATTTTATAATGATCATAATTTTTAAATATTTTTATATAATTTATGTTGTTAATTAAAAAAATTGTTATCTGTTAAAAATAATGCTAACTCTCTTTATAGTTTTTAATATTAGTAAAGTCTCTTATATTTTTATTTTGAATATTTTTTCACTTTTGTGTGATAAGCATTAAACATTTTATTAAAATATTTTTAAAATGGTTACATAATATAATATGATCCCATACTGCAAGTATATATGGAGTGTTGAATATGCTAACTGTATGCTCCTTTCCAAGTTCTATAATATGATCTTTAGACCTAATTGGGATATTGAGATATAATTAGTCTATAATTCCAAAAAGAATGATAAGTTTATTTTTGTATTGTTCCAGATCTTTTTGATTGATTAGTATTTTTTATTATTTATGAAATTTAAATAATATCAATTTATATTTTATCAAATTGAGTATGTAAAATGTTCAATAAAATCACAAATAGTCCATTTATATTTAAGTAAAATATATACTTCAAACTTCTATTTTATATTTTTTACACTATTTACTTTTATTTTTAAAAATCACAATTTTTTATATATTTTGAATATGTTACTCTAAAATTTTAAAAATGCAATGTGACTAAAAAAACGTACTTTATTAACATACGAAGTTATATTTAATATGATATATTTTGAACTTCATAAAAATTAATTAATGAATTAGATTAAAGTGAATGATAAATCATGCATTTAGAAATTAATTTTAATATTTTTTATAGAGACTAAATTAAAAAAAAAATTATCTTTCAAAGACTAAAATAAATATGACCGTATATTTAAAGATTATTTTAAATTTACTTTTCTTTTAAAGATTAACATTAAAGACTTCTTATCTTTGAAGAATTAGATTGAAGTTTTAGTTGATGAAAAAATAATTACTCTGCAAGATAACATAACATTGAGTCATCTAATAAATCATATTATATATATATATATATATATATATATATATATATATATAGCTTCTTATATATTAAGTGACTTTTTTATTTATTATGTTTTTTAAAATTAATTGTCAAAATGAATTTTTAATCAATATTTTAATTATATCAAAATACACTAAAAGGTAACACGTCACATTTTGTTATACATAGTAATTTAGAAGGAAGCTACGGTCGACATGCCATGAATACCATTTATTGAGATTATTGCAAGGGCATTACACTATAGTTTGACATGTCATACCATTAGGCAGCTAAACTAATAGGTGTCATTTATCAGAGTCTAACAAGTATCCAAACTTTGTTTAATGGTTAACAAAATTTGAATTTAAAAATACCTTTTTTTATATGAGATCTCTTACACTTTCTAAGTCTAACAAGTATCTCTTACCTTTTTTAAAAATACCTTTTTTTATGAGTCACAAGAAAGGAGGATTTGTGAAAGAACAAAAACTTTACATGTGTATGTATGGAACATGACCTTACACACCATGTTGTAGGGAAAGTGCGGTTAAAAGGACATTAGTACAAACTACAAAGTTAAGTATGAAGAATTTTATAGCATATGCTCCGAATGTGGTTGTTATAGCCATCTAACCAAAAAATGCAAAAAGTTTTTAAAAACTCATGTTTTGTTAGAAAGTCACAACCATGTTCAAGAATGGGATGTTATAGAAAAGGTTGGGAGGACTCATCTCTAAGATCTTATGAAACTATCTATCATTCTTATAATCTTTTTTACGATGATTGAATTTAATGATGTTTATATCCTTTCTTAGAATATAAAAGGTACTGGTATTAGGAGAGGACAAAATCACATTAGAGATTTGATTAATAAATACCAGTCAATAATTTTATTTCTATTTGAAATACATATTGGATTCAATAAAATCAAGACATTCTAGAATAAGGTGGGTTATTCTCCAATTGCTATTGTTCAAGACCAAGGCCAATATGAGGGAATTTGGGCTCTTATTTAGATGATGTGAACTTGAACATCACTTTGGCATGAACTAATCAGTATATGATCTCTCTTAAATTTAGGTCTAGAAGAAATGCTTGGATTGGAACTACTATTTATACAAGTCCTATAACTTCTAAGTAAGGTGATACATGAAACATTTTCAAAAATATCCACAAGAACTTTAGCCTTCAGTGATTAGTTCAAATAACAAAGCCCTTGTCCCCTCTGATAAAAAAAGAATGGCATTTTCTTACTTTAGAACTAAGACATTTAAAAAGTTTTGTGATAACTTGTATTAGCAAATGCAAATAGTGTTTAGCAAGTGCACCAATCGTTTAAATGTGTAAAGTTAAGATAATTCTCACAAAGATTTATATTCTCAATTTAAGCAATATGTACAGAAATAAGTGAATACCAAATTTGAAAAAATATATATGAATTTTTCTAGTAAACTTTGAAAATCAAGACTTAGAATGTTGAAAATTATGATAGAAATGATTCAATGCATGAACACAAATTGAAGTTAGCTTATAGTACAAGAAAACTTAAAAATACAAACTTAACATAGAAGTTTAAAAAACACATTCATCATGAATGATGTTAAGATATAAAACAAAGAATTAACTTGAAAATTCAAAATCTAGATGAATGAAATTAAAGTCTAGAATCAAGAACAGTTAAAAAAAGTGAAATTCAAAGAGACATTGGTCAAGAATCATATTTCTTTCAAAATGTTCACTTCATGTAGAAACACAAAAGCTTTAACTTAATTTTGACAACAACATTACATGATCTAATCATCGACTTTAGTAATGTTCAATTTCTTAATATAAAACACTAAATCGTAATTAAAAATCTAAATATTTTAGGTAACTTTAACAAAGAACAACTTTAGGAATTAGTAACAAACAACTAAATCTTAACCCTTATATCTAGATAATTAAAAAATAGAGAAAGTTACTTCAAATTTAAACATAAAACTAATGAGTCCATTGTGAAATATACTTTACATTCATGTATTTGATTGACCAAAATGAAGTAACATTAAGTTAAGAAGTAGAGTTATACTATGAAAAATTGAATTAGATTAAGAAGAAATTCAGCTAAATCTAGAATTTCACCTATCATAACCTACAAATACATTAATACATTGCAAAAATACAAAAAATAATGAGTATTGAAAAAATATTGAGAGATGTTTTCCATTAAAATTCAACATTTGTATTCAAAGTATCTGACTTCAATTCCTCACAAATTGTGAAGAGCAAGAACTATAGAATCCTTAAATTACAACTAGAAATAGAGAAGAAATTCAAATCATAAAATTGAACAATAAGATCCTTAACTTCGTTGCCTATTAAGTTATTTATTATAAACATTTGATAAGTCAATGTGTTATCATTCATTTGCAAAAGTCAAAACATGCTCTTAATTCTAGAAGATTCTAGAATATTCCAAAGTTCACCAAATGTCCCAATAACAAGAGTTGAATATCTTTGGCTAGCGTTTAGTTTTAGGGTTTCACTTGTCATAATGTATGGTCATTTGATTTTAAATGTTATTTCCTGAAACTTCTTAATCCGCTTAAAGTTTATTACTTTCTTCTTTTACATTTTAGATTCTTCAATTTGCTCCTTACAAAACCTACAACTGAGAATGCACCAAACTAATTAATTCAACTAAGACATTTCAATTAAATGAATTTTCTTCCTTTTCTAACCATTTATAAAACATCAAGCAATTTAACATTAATTTTTATATATTTTTATCCATCTCATTATCATTTTATGCATTATTATCTTTATGAACACACTTAAAATGTAGATTTGTCATTTTAGCAAAATATGAATTTTCTAATATATTTATTATTAGCTCCTTTTTCACTTGGCACAAGAACTATAATGGTAAAATAATTTTATCTAAGAGATTGAACCAAGGTGTTGCTAACAATAGTTTGTTGAGCAACTTATGTAAGGCTTTTTATTGAAACTCTAAGTAGATTACATTCAAGTCATAATACTTCTTTTGAGGTGAGGTGGTCTCCCTTTCGTTTAAGGTCCTAGGCTTTTGTTTGTTTTTAAGCTTCTTAGATAGCTCATAAAGATTATTTGAAGGTTAATAAAAAAATAGATGTGAGGTAAAGATTATGTTATCAAAGGTCGTAAGAAAGTCAGAGATGATTCTCTTCTTTTCACTAAAGAAGCCTTTGAAAATATTTTTAAACATAAAATAATCCTTGAAGTTAGAATAAGAAAGGTCTAAAGGAGTCTACAAAGGGTAGAATTATTTTTC